ATATTTAACAATTTAAGGAGCCAATTTGAATATACATTTTTCAAGAGCCAATTCAAGGATCGAATATTTATATTTACCCAAAATTGGGAGCCAATTCAATGGTAGCCGTTGAAAATACGTCCACAAACAGGCGGAATAGGAGAGCGGAACAAGTCACGTGACTTTCCTTCGATGTGGACCGCCTACTTGGYCGATCGGAAATTTTGTCATGCGGTATCAAATAAAGTCCCGGAAAATTTGTTTGTATTCATACTCAAAAATAGCTTCTTCTAGACGGCGCGCCTTTATGTATTCACTATAAAAAATTTGACCAGAATTAAGAAATAGAAAATCATAATTCGCAATTATGTATTAATATCATATAATATGTCAACTGAAGTAAAACAGAAAGCTATAGAAAGATTAATTTTAAGTTGGGCAATACGGCTAGTATACTGTATAGGTACGTATTAATAATAAATTACATAAATATCATGACAATTTTTCTAAATAATTTTTCAAAATTCGAGTTATTGTCGGTTCAAAATTCATTAAGAACACAGCAAAATATTCCTAAAAAGCCAACTTTTCCTCAAGTTAAAAGTTCAAACCGTTGTTGACACTGTCAAAAAATATATTTTTTATATAGTTGATGAATCATATTTTTATTTCTTTGTTAWTGTTGGCGTGGGTCTAGTTATTATGACCTGTTTGAGGGGGTGGGGGGGTGGCTGGAGCTACCTAAGAAATTATAATATATGTTATAGGTAGTCCATACGTTACATTCACACGATCGGGTTAAAGATCCAATGGAATCCAGGCAATCCAGCCGTTGTTTGCAGACCACTTCTAAATCATTACCAGACGTCATCCAGCCGTTCAGGCCAACATAATATTAAAATAATATTTATAATGTTAAGTCATAAAGAGTAGATTTATATTAGATAGGTTATTGTGGTGTATACTGCAGGGAATGCAATATTTAGACTTGCTTTTTATTTTTGGAACTTTGATTRAAATTTTCAATTATAGTGGTTTATTACAATCATTTCGATTTAGCAATTTGGACTTTTAGTTCATATCTCGTACAGTCGTAC